ATACACAACTGATTAGAACTTACGTCTCTCTGATATTATATCTACATTTGAGTGAGGTGGGAAGGATGATGTGGCATTAACACAAGACAGAACAGGGGATATTAATAGGGTATTAAAAGTATCAACACAAGACAGAACAGAAACAATGGGTATTGAATAGAAGTGTTTGTAGAAAGCCTATTGGTCCATATTTCTTGATGCTTCTATATTGGAGCGGAGTCTTGAGGTGGGTAGAATATAGTTGTGCAATAATTGGCTGTTGATTGCTGGTGTTGACTTCTTGATGTGTAGTGCCTCGCAAACGTCAAGCCGCCTGCTATCGCTGTATCTATCGATGATTTCTGTGTTGTTTACTAGGATTTCTCTGGCGATGGTTTGGTTATGGGAAGAGATTATATGTTCCTTAATGGAGCCCTGTTGCTTATGCATCGTTAAACGCCTAGAAAGAGATGTTGTTGTCTTGCCTATATACTGGGTTTTTTGGAACTTACAGTCCCCAAGTGGGCATTTGAAGGCATAGACGACGTTAGTCTCTTTTAAAGCGTTCTGTTTTGTGTCTGGAGAGTTTCTCATGAGTAGGCTGGCCGTTTTTCTGGTTTTATAGTAAATCGTCAGTTGTATCCTCTGATTTTTGTCTGTAGGGATAACGTTTCTATTAACAATATCTTTCAGGACCCTTTCCTCCGTTTTATGAGCTGTGGAAAAGAAGTTCCTGTAAAATAGTCTAATAAGGGGTATAGGTGTTGTGTTAGTTGTCTCTTCAGAGGTGAAGAGACAACTAACACAACACCTATACCCCCTATTAGACTATTTTACAGGAACTTCTTTTCCACAGCTCATAAAACGGAGGAAAGGGTCCTGAAAGATATTGTTAATAGAAACGTTATCCCTACAGACAAAAATCAGAGGATACAACTGACGATTTACTATAAAACCAGAAAAACGGCCAGCCTACTCATGAGAAACTCTCCAGACACAAAACAGAACGCTTTAAAAGAGACTAACGTCGTCTATGCCTTCAAATGCCCACTTGGGGACTGTAAGCTCCAAAAAACCCAGTATATAGGCAAGACAACAACATCTCTTTCTAGGCGTTTAACGATGCATAAGCAACAGGGCTCCATTAAGGAACATATAATCTCTTCCTATAACCAAACCATCGCCAGAGAAATCCTAGTAAACAACACAGAAATCATCGATAGATACAGCGATAGCAGGCGGCTTGACGTTTGCGAGGCACTACACATCAAGAAGTCAACACCAGCAATCAACAGCCAATTATTGCACAACTATATTCTACCCACCTCAAGACTCCGCTCCAATATAGAAGCATCAAGAAATATGGACCAATAGGCTTTCTACAAACACTTCTATTCAATACCCATTGTTTCTGTTCTGTCTTGTGTTGATACTTTTAATACCCTATTAATATCCCCTGTTCTGTCTTGTGTTAATGCCACATCATCCTTCCCACCTCACTCAAATGTAGATATAATATCAGAGAGACGTAAGTTCTAATCAGTTGTGTATTTGTGAAGTCTTTGAAAATGTAATAAGTTTTACGAAACGCGCCGTGTCGCGTCAGACTAGAAATAAAAATGAATTTTGGAGAAGTGATTTTTGATTTACCTCCAACAGTGAAGCGTAATGTACGAAAGATTGAGAAAATTCGTGTTAGAATTATTAATCTTACTTTTCGGTCATATTTAATAATATATGTCTACAGGAAAGACTGCTACCAAAAATATATATATATATATATATATATATATATATATATATATATATATATATATATATATATATATATATATATATATATATATATATGTCGTACCTAGATGCCAGAACGCACTTCTCGGCCTACTATGCGAGGCCCGATTTGCCTAATAAGCCAAGTTTTCCTGAATTAATATACTTTCTCTAATTTTTTTCTTATGAAATGATAAGGCTACCCCTTTCATTATGAATGAGGTCAATTTTTTTAATTGGAGTTAAAATTAACGTAGATATATGACCGAACCTAACCAACCCTACCTAACCTAACCAATTTTTATAGGTTAGGTTAGGTAGCCGAAAAAGTTAGGTTAGGTTAGGTTAGGTAGGTTAGGTAGTCGAGAAACAATTAATTCATGAAAACTTGGCCTATTAGGCAAATCGAGCCTTGCATAGTAGGCTGTATCTATCGATAGATATCGCTGTATCTATCGATAGATACAGCGATAGCAGGCGGCTAGCTAGATATCTGCGAGGCACTACACATTAAGAAGTTGACACCAGCAATCAACAGCCAATTAATGCACAACTATATTCTACCCACTTCAAGACTCCGCTCCAATATAGAAGCATCAAGAAATATGGGCCAATAGGCCCTTTGCGGTTACTTACATTCTTCCCTTTAACTTACAAAATATTATACCCATTGTTTCGTGTTCTGTCTTGTGTTGAAAGTTTGTTTTCACCTCATCCAAAACTGTTGTAACATATCACCTCACCCAAATGTAGGTATAAAATAGAAGATGTTTAAGCTCTGTTCAGTTATAGTTGTGTCTGTGTAAACTAAAGTCTTTGAAAATGTAATAAGTTTTACGAAACGCGCTCAAGTGTCGCGTCAGACTAGAAATAAAAATGAATTTTGGAGAATTGATTTTTTAGTTACCATCAACAGTGAAGAAAAATATAAGAAACATTGAGAAAATTCATGTTAGAATCTTACTTTTTCGGTCATATTTAATAATATATGTCTACAGGAAAGACTGCTACCAAAATATACTAATATAATACATATATATATATATATATATATATATATATATATATATATATATATATATATATATATATATATATATATATATATATATATATATATATATATATATATATATATATATATATATATATATATATTGTGTTTAATGTAACAGGCTATACAATGATGCCTTGTATCCACTCATACCTTCGCTTATTGTACCATTGCTGATATATTCGATTCATTGCCCCTACCTAGCCCTCCTAACCTAACCTATAATAGTCAAACACATAAAAAATTGTTTGTAGAACGTCATGTCACCCACATGCCATACTAAAAGTCAACAGAATCGTACATATGGCAACTCAGCACGTTAGCTATCCTCCAACCATCAAATAGCTGCCCAAATGTCGCACCGCAGTTCATACATCTGACATCTCAGCTGTATGATGGCCGCTATATTTTTGGGTTAATCATTCCTAGATCTGGAAAATTCTAATCTTTCTCCAAAATCAGCTAACTTGTCTCTAAACCAAGTCACAAATACATACATTCGAAAAATACATATAAACACATACATGCACATGCATCCATACATACATACACATACATCCATACATTCATACGAAAAATATATAAAAAAAAATTTTGAGACATATACAAGAGTTGTTACATTCTTGTACAGCCACTAGTACGCGTAGCGTTTCGGGCAGGTCCCTGGAATACGATCCCCGCCGCGAAGAATCGTTTTTACGACAAAGTACACATTTTACTGTTGCGTTAAACAGAGGCTACAGTTAAGGACTTGCGCCCAGTAAATCCTCCCCGGCCAGGATACGAACCCATGACAAAGCGCTCGCTGAACGCCAGGCGAGTGTCATACCACTACACCACGGAGACGTATACATACATACGAAAAATACATACATGCATACATACATATACACAAACATACTCTACGACCCATACATGCCCAGTCAATAACCTGTTTTTTGCCACCATTATCCCATGTAATCAAATGAAATTTATGCCATATTAATCCCTAAAAATGTATTTAGAACAAGATTTCAGTAACCCAACAGCTCCTTCACCCCCAAGTGATCTTTCATTTTCGTTCTTTTAATTCGTACTGATGCATGCCAATCAACAAGGTAACCATATTATTCCAGCAAGTCCAAAAATATTCAATACCTCTATTATATTCAAATACACCAACTATTGTAATTATATGGATAAATACCCACCTACATACTATTCATATGGCTAAACCAGGCTACTTGTGTCACATTGAAATATATTAGTAATTTTTAATAAAAAGGTTTTTAGTTTGCGATAAGGCATACTAAGATATAATAATTAACACAAAATGCTACACTTTTACATATATACACTAAAAATGCACAAAAATGCAAACATACAACATTAAACTCGCAAACACATTTACACTCAATATGGCATTTACGCACACAGTATGACATTTCCACATATATATATATATATATATATATATATATATATATATATATATATATATATATATATATATATATATATATATATATAACAATGTCAGACCACGGAGGAAAAATGAAACAGGAAATTTCCTTAAGTACTTTCGTATATTAAATACATCTTCAGAAGGTCCTTCTTTGGACCTTCTGAAGATGTATTTAATATACGAAAGTACTTAAGGAAATTTCCTGTTTCATTTTTCCTCCGTGGTCTGACATTGTCACATTCTTAATCACGTGTTTATTTTCGTGATATACATATATATATATATATATATATATATATATATATATATATATATATATATATATATATATATATATATATATATATATATATATATATATATATATATATATATATATATATATATACATACACACATACACATAATACAACATTTACATACAAAATATTCCAGTTACACACAAAAATATACCATTTACCCAAATATTGCAAGTACACTCAAAGTATTACATTTACACAAAGTACAAAAAAATCTCACTGCTAGGGCAAGTTACCCACCATTAGGGTGGTTAACTTGCAAGTTACAACCATTGAGGTAAGCCTCCACCGTAGGCCAAGTTAACTACCACTAAGGCAAACCCCCACCACTAGGCCAAGTTACCACCACTGAGATTAACCACCAACACCACATAAACAATGTACTAAAGTTAAGGTAACTAGCGTATGGCTGAACCCTCCTCCGCTGGAGTTAATCCCATCCCTCGGCCAGGTACGAGTGGTTCCAGGAGCTGGGCTTGGAGTGGTTTGGTGTGCCCGCGGTCTCCTCCATGATGTTTGACTGTGGCGGCGTCCAGTTCCCCGCCGCCCCCTTCAACGGCTGGTACATGTCCACGGAGATAGCCATCAGGGACCTCTGCGACCCACAGCGGTACAACCTGATCCAGGTACGACCCTTGTACCTCCTGCAGGTACGTGCCTTGTACCTCCTCCAGGTACGTGCCTAGTGCCTCCTCCAGGTACGTGCCTATTACCTTCTCCAGGTACGTGCCTAGTACCTCCTCCAGGTACGTGCCTAGTACCTCCTCCAGGTACGTGCCTAGTACCTCCTCCAGGTACGTGCCTAGTACCTCCTCCAGGTACGTGCCTAGTACCTCCTCCAGGTACGTGCCTAGTACCTCCTCTAGGTGCGTGCCTAGTACCTCCTCTAGGTACGTGCCTAGTACCTCCTCCAGGTACGTGCCTAGTACCTCCTTCAGGTACGTGCCTTGTACCTCCTCCAGGTACGTGCCTTGTACCTCCTCCAGGTACGTGCCTAGTGCCTCCTCCAGGTACGTGCCTTGTACCTCCTCCAGGTACGTGCCTAGTGCCTCCTCCAGGTACGTGCCTAGTACCTCCTCCAGGTACGTGCCTAGTGCCTCCTCCAGGTACATGCCTTGTACCTCCTCCAGGTACGTCCCTTGTACCTCCTCCAGGTACGTGCCTAGTACCTCCTCCAGGTACGTGCCTAGTACCTCCTCCAGGTACGTGCCTTGTACCTCCTCCAGGTACGTGCCTTGTACCTCCTCCAGGTACGTGCCTAGTGCCTCCTCCAGGTACGTGCCTTGTACCTCCTCCAGGTACGTGCCTAGTGCCTCCTCCAGGTACGTGCCTACCTCCTACCTCCTAGTGCCTCCTCCAGGTACGTGCCTACGTGCCTAGTACCTCCTCCAGGTACGTGCCTAGTACCTCCTCCAGGTACGTGCCTAGTACCTCCTCCAGGTACGTGCCTAGTACCTCCTCCAGGTACGTGCCTTGTACCTCCTCCAGGTTCGTGCCTTGTACCTCCTCCAGGTACGTGCCTTGTACCTCCTCCAGGTACGTGCCTTGTACCTCCTCCAGGTACGTGCCTAGTGCCTCCTCCAGGTACGTGCCTAGTACCTCCTCCAGGTACGTGCCTTGTACCTCCTCCAGGTACGTGCCTAGTACCTCCTCCAGGTACGTGCCTAGTACCTGCCTTCCAGGTACGTGCCTAGTACCTCCTCCAGGTACGTGCCTTGTACCTCCTCCAGGTACGTGCCTAGTACCTCCTCCAGGTACGTGCCTAGTACCTCCTCCAGGTACGTGCCTAGTACCTCCTCCAGGTACGTGCCTAGTACCTCTTCCAGGTACGTGCCTAGTACCTCCTCCAGGTACGTGCCTAGTACCTCTTCCAGGTACGTGCCTTGTACCTCCTCCAGTACTTCACCCTAGTACCTCCTCCAGTACTTCCCCCTGGTACCTCCTCCAGTACTTCTCCCTAGTACCTCCTCCAGTACTTCCCCCTGGTACCTCCTCCAGTACTTCCCCCTAGTATCTCCTCCAGGTACGTGCCATATACCTCCTCCAGGTACGTGCCTAGTACCTCCTCCAGTACGTGCCTAGGCCTCCTCCAGTATTGCCTAGTACCTACTCCAGGTACGTGCCTTTTCGGGGTACCTACTAAGCCTTGCCCAGGTACGTACTAGTACCCTTGCCGAGGCCTACTAAGCCTCCTCCGTAGGCCTACTAAGCCTTGCCGAGGCCTGGTACCTCCTCCAGTACTTGCCGAGGCCTACTAAGCCTTGTCGAGGCCTACTAAGCCTTGCCGAGGCCTACTAAGCCTTGTCGAGGCCTACTAAGCCTTGTCGAGGCCTACTCAGCATTGTCTAGGCCTACTAAGCCTTTTCGGGGCCTACTAAGCCTTGCCGAGGAATACTAAGCCTTGCCGAGGCCTACTAAGCCTTGCCGAGGCTTACTAAGCCTTGTCGAGGCCTACTAAGCCTTGCCGAGGCCTACTAAGCCTTGTCGAGGCCTACTAAGCCTTGCCAAGGCCTACTAAGCCTTGTCGAGGCCTACTAAGCCTTGTCGAGGCCTACTAAGCCTTGCCGAGGCCTACTAAGCCTTGTCGAGGCCTACTAAGCCTTGTCGAGGCCTACTAAGCCTTGCCGAGGCCTACTAAGCCTTGTCGAGGCCTACTAAGCCTTGTCGAGGCCTACTAAGCCTTGCCGAGGCCTACTAAGCCTTGTCGGGGCTTTGTCGAGGCCTACTAAGCCTTGTCGGGGCCTACTAAGCCTTCGAGGCCTACTAAGCCTTGCCGAGGCCTACTAAGCCTTGTCGAGGCCTACTAAGCCTTGTCGGGGCCTACTTAGCCTTGGCAGGGTATACTAAGCATTTTCAAGGCCTACTAAAACTTGTCAAGGCCTACTAAGCCTTTTCGAGGCCTATTAAGCCTTGCCGAGGCCTTCTAAAAATGTACTAGAACCAACTTTTCCTAATTAATAAGAGAACTAGTAAAAGTATACCTTATATTACCTGTGCATTGGCGCCCAGAGCAGCAGTGGCTCACACGCGCACGGAAATGCAGCAAGTGGAGTCGGTCGCTTGCAACCTTCGGTGCCCCCTTGGTAGTAGTGTGCCGCAGGGCTCTGAACTGGATCCATAGCATTTCAAAATTTACATAAAAGATCTCGACACTTGTGTGAACAGTATTATCAGGCATCTATGGGTAGCACAAAGATGAGGCGTGTAGTGATTCAAAAGACGACTTGAATGAATTACAAAGGTAGTTAAACGAATGAACTTGTGAAACTTAACGTTAATGAGGTTAAGGCGAATAACGGCAAATGCTGTTTAACTTACAGAGAAGTAGACTCATTAACCCTGGAAATGCTACTATGGTGAATCCCTCTTCAAAACTACAGTCAAGCATAAATAAAATTTTGACAGTGATATAAATGCCATAGCAGCGACTGCAACCAAGACATCAATGTTTCTGTGCACGAAATAAAGCGAATATATATTGGTATATAACAATTTATATTAGCTTTATTATTCTGTTCTTCTCCGGCCCCGACCACGGCGGTCTCCGGGGCTGGTGGTCCCTGTGCCCTTCTTCACCACCTTCGAGGTCAACCCCGGAGCTCACAGTTCCTGCGACGGCGCTGGAACCAATCGTATTGGCGTATGCCTATCCATTGGAGACTTTCAGCGCCGTGGAGAGGGGGGACCTGCTGCCTGGGTAACAGCTTCTTCCCCGAATCAACTTACCCTGGCTTTGCGCGCTGGTGAGGCCACTCCAGACCGACAACCAGAGCGCAACTCCATAGTCTCCTGAGACTGATGGATGCCTACTATAACAAGAAGCATCGACAACAGAAACATGAATAACGTCATTCAGCAATGGGTACACACTGGATAAACTTCGCTTTAGGAAGAGGACATGAACGTTCTGGTTACGGAATAGTGTTGTGCATCCGTTAAAGAAGCCCATTGCTGTCTGTCATTATTGGGACAGTTTAAAAGATTTCAAGAAGAGTTAGGACAGTTAAATGGGTGAGAGGGTGTTGACTTTTAAAGTACTCGCCTATTATGGGCCCACAGGCCTACTGTGATGCTCCCTAATTTTGATATTTTTTACGAGTCGATGCGTCGAAGCCTTGCTGCTACATACATCAACATTCATACTTTAAAAGGAAGAAAGAATTCGCCATCGGCTCCTCTCCTCAGGCCACATTCAATTGTCTTGCAACCTTTGGCTAGGAGAGGAGTTCCAAAAGCAACTTTACTGTTGTTTGGGTAAAAAATGTCAGGGGACACCTTTATCAGTTATGAATGGCGACCAATTGTGTTCACATCAACTTCAGAGTATGAATATACTTGAACTTACAGTGTTTTAGGTTTCTTAAGCCTTAAATTGCTCATAATTTCTCAATTAAGTGAACCTTCCTTCCCATCCCAAATCTTTATCCTGACCCCTTCCCAGTGCTATATAGTAGTAATGGCTTGGCGCTTTCCCCTGATAGTTCCCTTCATATTTGCTTCCCCTTAAAGTGATTTATATAAATGCAAACAACTGTTCTTGTTGGTTTTATAAATTCGTAAATGAGACTAAATAAACATTGTCGTAACCCGTCCCCTTATAAATTCAGTAGTGTATCTAATTTACATACAACGTCTATAAATGTTATTAGCAAACAAAGGGTTAAGAAATGTTAAAGCATGTCAATTCCGAGTTCCAAATGATACTTGTAATCCATTCTTGCTGAATTATATAATATTGTTTGTCTCTGTAAAATGAAAACATTTAATCTGAAAAAAACTGAATATCTTATAATTACTATTTTTTTGCGTGAAGACGATAGGTGAGAAAATGGGTCTAGACACTAGGTCTAACATCACGCTCTGGAGGGACGCCGCTGCCCTTGAGCTCCACCATGCTGTCCTCCACTCCTACAAGGTATGTGGTCCGCCATGCTGTCCTCCACTCCTACAAGGTATGTGGTCCGCCATGCTGTCCTCCACTCCTACAAGGTATATGGTCCACCATGCTGTCCTCCACTCCTACAAGGTATGTGGTCCACCATGCTGTCCTCCACTCCTACAAGGTATGTGGTCCACCATGCTGTCCTCCACTCCTACAAGGTATGTGGTCCACCATGCTGTCCTCCACTCCTACAAGGTATGTGGTCCACCATGCTGTCCTCCACTCCTACAAGGTATGTGGTCCACCATGCTGTCCTCCACTCCTACAAGGTATGTGGTCCACCATGCTGTCCTCCACTCCTACAAGGTATGTGGTCCACCATGCTGTCCTCCACTCCTACAAGGTATGTGGTCCACCATGCTGTCCTCCACTCCTACAAGGTATGTGGTCCGCCATGCTGTCCTCCACTCCTACAAGGTATGTGGTCCGCCATGCTGTCCTCCATTCCTACAAGGTATGTGGTCCACCATGCTGTCCTCCACTCCTACAAGGTATGTGGTCCACCATGCTGTCCTCCACTCCTACAAGGTATGTGGTCCACCATGCTGTCCTCCACTCCTACAAGGTATGTGGTCCGCTGTCCGTTCTTTGTGCCTGTTCGTTATGGGCCGCCGCCAACACACGGTCTTTATTCACCGGAAAACTGCTGGGGGTCGCGTGAAGTCAATATATGATATGAAAATGACATGGTATGATAAAACATGTCTCTTCATCAATATAACCATCTACACTACACACTGTCTTCATCAATATAACCATCTACACTACACACTGTCTTCATCAATATAACCATCTACACTACACACTGTCTTCATCAATATAACCATCTTCACTACACACTGTCTTCATCAATATAACCATCTTCACTTCACACTGTCTTCATCAATATAACCATCTTCACTTCACACTGTCTTCATCAATATAACCATCTTCACTTCACACTGTCTTCATCAATATAACCATCTACACTACACACTGTCTTCATCAATATAACCATCTTCACTTCACACTGTCTTCATCAATATAACCATCTACACTTCACACTGTCTTCATCAATATAACCATCTACACTTCACACTGTCTTCATCAATATAACCATCTACACTACACACTGTCTTCATCAATATAACCATCTTCACTTCACACTGTCTTCATCAATATAACCATCTTCACTTCACACTGTCTTCATCAATATAACCATCTTCACTACACACTGTCTTCATCAATATAACCATCTACACTACACACTGTCTTCATCAATATAACCATCTTCACTACACACTGTCTTCATCAATATAACCATCTACACTTCACACTGTCTTCATCAATATAACCATCTACACTACACACTGTCTTCATCAATATAACCATCTACACTACACACTGTCTTCATCAATATAACCATCTTCACTACACACTGTCTTCATCAATATAACCATCTACACTTCACACTGTCTTCATCAATATAACCATCTTCACTACACACTGTCTTCATCAATATAACCATCTACACTTCACACTGTCTTCATCAATATAACCATCTACACTACACACTGTCTTCATCAATATAACCATCTACACTACACACTGTCTTCATCAATATAACCATCTTCACTTCACACTGTCTTCATCAATATAACCATCTACACTACACACTGTCTTCATCAATATAACCATCTTCACTACACACTGTCTTCATCAATATAACCATCTACACTTCACACTGTCTTCATCAATATAACCATCTACACTACACACTGTCTTCATCAATATAACCATCTTCACTACACACTGTCTTCATCAATATAACCATCTACACTACACACTGTCTTCATCAATATAACCATCTTCACTACACACTGTCTTCATCAATATAACCATCTTCACTTCACACTGTCTTCATCAATATAACCATCTTCACTACACACTGTCTTCATCAATATAACCATCTACACTACCTTCAGTAGGTGTCCGTCAATCCCGTGGGGTTATGGAGTAGTGCCCTGGGTGTCTAGTTGTTGTAGTGTAGTTGGATGCAGCGCCTGCTGTGGCTGTCAAGGCCAACCCGAGAATGACAGTCCCGACCGCAGCGAGCGCAGATAAACGGCTTTAAAAATAAAGATAAACAGATAAGCGGGTGCGTCTGACAGTGGTCGAGACCTCCTCTAAAGTCTATTATCCTCCGCCTGCCTCTTCAGTTCATCCTCGAATTGCTGCACTTTACATCTCCAGGCAGATCTGTCCGCAGCTGCTGCCTCCCAGGTGTTGATGTCGATGTTCATCTGCTTGAGGTCGCGTTTGCAGGCATCTTTGAAACGCAGCTGAGGTCTTCCGGTGGGTCTCCTTCCTGATGCCAGTTCTCCATACAAGAGATCCTTCGGTATGCGGCCATCGACCATGCGTGTGACATGTCCCAGCCATCGCATGCGACTCTGCTCCAGGAGAGTGAACACTGAAGGGACTCCTGTTCTCTCGGGTACAGTGTTGTTGGTGACGTGGTCTTTCCACGTGATGTCAAGGATGCGTCTCAGGGTCCGCATGTGAAAGGTATTGTGCCGTCTCTCCTGACGAGAGCACAGGTTCCAGGATTCCGAGCCGTAGAGAAGTGTACTCACCACACATGCCTTCTCTGCCTTATATTTCACCACCTTCCTAATCCATGTCCACCTTCACTACCCATAACTACCATAATACCTATAGCCACCATCCCTACCCATATCCACTATCCCTACCCTTAATCACCATACCTACCCTTCACTACCTATTACGGCCTTCCCTACCCACAACTCATTCCCAAACCGTCACCACCTTTCCTACCCTTCATTGCCTTCCCTATCCTTAACCACCTTCTCTAAACTTCACCACCTTTCCTACCCATTACCACCTTCCCTAAGCGCCAGCACTTTTCCTACCCATAACTAGCTTCCCTACCCTTCACTACCTTTCTACCCTTAAAAATTTTTCGTACCCTTCACCCCCATCCCTTCCTATCAAGCATGGGACAGACTGGAGGTATACCTTTAGAAAAGTATAACAATACATCAGTTTCAGAAGCTAAATATAATAAATCAAGGATGAATATTTTGTAACAAATATTTTTGAGTCTAATACTTTGTAATTCTTCTTGACATTGTACTGAGAAGAACTTGTGTTAAAAGGAAAGGAAGGTGACTCTGATGGACCACTACACGGCGGCCGAGTCCTACATGCAGTTCTCCGAGAACGAGCATCGGCAGCGGGGCGGGTGTCCGGCCGACTGGGTGTGGATTGTGCCGCCCGTGTCCGGCTCCCTTACGCCCGTCTTCCACCAGGAGATGTCGCTCTACTACCTCAAGCCCGCCTACGAGTACCAGGAGCCCGCCTGGGTCACCTACGCCCGCTACGAGAGGGAGCTGCAGGGAAGAGACGCCTCCCTCGGTATTAAACTGTTTAGGAAGGCTGCACTGTGAGTACACATAACGCTCTTTAAGGTTCTGCATTGTTATTACTTTGCTCATATATTAACCGGAAATTACTGGCAATTTGTTAAGACACTGAACGGCGCTCGGTACGGCACTCAGGAAACACCACTCCTGGGTGACAGTCGCTCCTAGGAGGGCAGCTGTGCCTCGTGCTGCCACTCCTGGGTGACAGTCGCTCCTAGGAGGGCAGCTGTGCCTCGTGCTGCCACTCCTGGGTGACAGTCGCTCCTAGGAGGGCAGCTGTGCCTCGTGCTGCCACTCCTGGGTGACAGTCGCTCCTAGGATGGCAGCTGTGCCTCGTGCTGCCACTCCTGGGTGACAGTCGCTCCTAGGAGGGCAGCTGGGAAAGTACATGCAGTCCTCACCTGGGACACTTCCATCACCTGGGACACTTCCATCACCTGTCACACTGTCCTCACCTGGGACACTGTCCTCACCTTGGACACTGTCCTCACCTGTCACACTATCCTCACCTGGGACACTGTCCTCACCTGGGACACTGTCCTCACCTGGGAAACTGTCCTCACCTGTCACACTGTCCTCACCTGGGACACTGTCCTCACCTGGGACACTGTCCTCACCTGTCACACTATCCTCACCTGGGACACTGTCCTTACCTGGGACACTGTCCTCACCTGTCACACTGTCCTCACCTGGGACACTGTCCTCACCTGGGACACTGTCCTCACCTGTCACACTATCCTCACCTGGGACACTGCCCTCACCTGTCACACTGTCCTCACCTGGGACACTGTCCTCACCTGTCACACTGTCCTCACCTGGGACACTGTCCTCACCTGGGACACTGTCCTCACCTGGGACACTGTCCTCACCTGGGACACTATCCTCAACTTGGACACTGTCATCACCTAGGACACTGCCATCACCTAGGACACTGTCCTCACCTGGGACACTGTCCTCACCTGGGACACTACCATCACCTAGGACACTGCCATCACCTGGGACACTGCCATCACCTGGGACACTGTCCTCACCTGGGACACTGTCCTCACCTGGGACACTGTCCTCACCTGGGACACTGTCCTCACCTGGGACACTGTCCTCACCTGGGACACTGTCCTCACCTGGGACACTACCATCACCTAGGACACTGCCATCACCTGGGACACTGTCCTCACCTGGGACACTGTCCTCACCTGGGACACTGTCCTCACCTGGGATACTGTCCTCACATGGGACACTGCCATCACCTAGGACACTGCCATCACCTAGGACACTGTCCTCACCTGGGACACTGTCCTCACCTGGGACACTGTCCTCACCTGGGACACTGCCATCACCTGGGACACTGTCCTCACCTGGGACACTGTCCTCACCAGGGACACTGCGATCACCTGGGACACTGCCATCACCTAGGACACTGTCCTCACCTGGGACACTGTCCTCACCTGGGACACTGCCATCACCTGGGACACTGCCATCACCTAGGACACTGCCATCACCTGGGGCACTGTCCTCACCTGGGACACTGCCATCACCTAGGACACTGCCATCACCTGGGGCACTGTCCTCACCTGGGACACTGTCCTCACCTGGGACACTGCCATCACCTGGGACACTGTCCTCACCTGGGACACTCCCATCACCTAGGACACTGTCCTCACCTGGGACACTGCCATCACCTGGGACACTGTCCTTACCTGGGACACTGTCCTCACCTGGGACACTGCCATCACCTGGGACACTGCCATCACCTGGGACACTGCCATCACCTAGGACACTGTCCTCACCTGGGACACTGCAATCACCTGGTACACTGTCCTCACCTGGGACACTGCCTTCACCTGGGACACTGTCCTCACCTGGGACACTGCCATCACCTAGGACACTGTCCTCACCTGGGACACTGCCATCACCTGGGACACTGTCCTCACCTGGGACACTGCCATCACCTAGGACACTGTCCTCACCTGGGACACTGCTATCACCTGGGACACTGTCTTCACCTGGGACACTGCCATCACCTAGGACACTGTCCTCACCTGGGACACTGCCATCACCTGGGACACTGTCCTCACCTGGGACACTGTCATCACCTGGGACACTGTCCTCACCTGGGACACTGCCATCACCTGGGACACTGTCCTCACCTGGGACACTGCCATCACCTGGGACACTGTCCTCACCTGGGACACTGTCCTCACCTGGGACACTGTCCTCTCCTGGGACACTGCCATCGCCTGGGACACTGTCCTCACCTGGGACACTGTCCTCTCCTGGGACACTGCCATCACCTGGGACACTGCCATCACCTGGGACACTGTCCTCTCCTGGGACACTGCCATCACCTGGGACACTGCCCTCACCTGGGACACTGTCCTCTCCTGGGACACTGCCATCACCTGGGACACTGTCCTCACCTGGGACACTGTCCTCACCTGGGACACTGTCCTCACCTGGGACACTGTCCTCACCTGGGACACTGTCCTCACCTGGGACACTGTCCTCACCTGGGACACTGTCCTCACCTGGGACACTGCCATCACCTGGGACACTGTCCTCACCTGGGACACTGTCCTCACCTAGGACACTGTCCTCACCTGGGACACTGCCATCACCTAGGACACTGTCCTCTCCTGGGACACTGTCCTCTCCTGGGACACTGCCATCACCTGGGACACTGCCATCACCTAGGACACTGTCCTCTCCTGGGACACTGCCATCACCTGGTACACTGTCCTCACCTGGGACACTGCCATCACCTGGGACACTGTCCTCACCTGGGACACTGCCCTCACCTGTCACACTGTCCTCACCTGGGACACTGTCCTCACCTGTCACACTGTCCTCACCTGGGACACTGTCCTCACCTGGGACACTGTCCTCACCTGGGACACTGTCCTCACCTGGGACACTGTCCTCAACTTGGACACTGTCATCACCTAGAACACTGCCATCACCTAGGACACTGTCCTCACCTGGGACACTGTCCTCACCTGGGACACTACCATCACCTAGGACAGTGCCATCACCTGGGACACTGTCCTCACCTGGGACACTGTCCTCACCTGGGACACTGTCCTCACCTGGGACACTGTCCTCACCTGGGACACTACCATCACCTAGGACACTGCCATCACCTGGGACACTGTCCTCACCTGGGACACTGTCCTCACCTGGGACACTGTCCTCACATGGGACACTGCCATCACCTAGGACACTGCCATCACCTGGGACACTGTCCTCACCTGGGACACTGTCCTCACCTGGGACACTGTCCTCACCTGGGACACTGCCATCACCTGGGACACTGTCCTCACCTGGGACACTGTCCTCACCAGGGACACTGCGATCACCTGGGACACTGCCATCACCTAGGACACTGTCCTCACCTGGGACACTGTCCTCACCTGGGACACTGCCATCACCTGGGACACTGCCATCACCTAGGACACTGCCATCACCTGGGGCACTGTCCTCACCTGGGACACTGCCATCACCTAGGACACTGCCATCACCTGGGGCACTGTCCTCACCTGGGACACTGTCCTCACCTGGGACACTGCCATCACCTGGGACACTGTCCTCACCTGGGACACTGACATCACCTCGGACACTGTCCTCACCTGGGACACTGCCATCACCTGGGACACTGTCCTCACCTGGGACACTGTCCTCACCTGGGACACTGCCATCACCTGGGACACTGCCATCACCTGGGACACTGCCATCACCTAGGACACTGTCCTCACCTGGGACACTGCAATCACCTGGTACACTGTCCTCACCTGGGACACTGCCATCACCTGGGACACTGTCCTCACCTGGGACACTGCCATCACCTAGGACACTGTCCTCACCTGGGACACTGCCATCACCTGGGACACTGTCCTCACCTGGGACACTGCCATCACCTAGGACACTGTCCTCACCTGGGACACTGCTATCACCTGGGACACTGTCTTCACCTGGGACACTGCCATCACCTAGGACACTGTCCTCACCTGGGACACTGCCATCACCTGGGACACTGTCCTCACCTGGGACACTGTCATCACCTGGGACACTGTCCTCACCTGGGACACTGCCATCACCTGGGACACTGTCCTCACCTGGGACACGGCCATCACCTGGGACACTGTCCTCACCTGGGACACTGTCCTCACCTGGGACACTGTCCTCTCCTGGGACACTGCCATCGCCTGGGACACTGTCCTCACCTGGGACACTGTCCTCTCCTGGGACACTGCCATCACCTAGGACACTGCCATCACCTGGGACACTGTCCTCTCCTGGGACACTGCCATCACCTGGGACACTGTCCTCACCTGGGACACTGTCCTCTCCTGGGACACTGCCATCACCTGGGACACTGTCCTCACCTGGGACACTGTCCTCACCTGGGACACTGTCCTCACCTGGGACACTGTCCTCACCTGGGACACTGTCCTCACCTGGGACACTGCCATCACCTGGGACACTGTCCTCACCTGGGACACTGTCCTCACCTAGGACACTGTCCTCACCTGGGACACTGCCATCACCTGGGACACTGTCCTCACCTAGGACACTGTCCTCTCCTGGGACACTGTCATCACCTGGGACACTGCCATCACCTAGGACACTGTCCTCACCTGGGACACTGCCATCACCTGGTACACTGTCCTCACCTGGGACACTGCCATCACCTGGGACACTGTCCTCACCTGGGACACTGCCATCACCTAGGACACTGTCCTCACCTGGGACACTGCCATCACCTGGGACACTGTCCTCACCTGGGACACTGCCATCACCTAGGACACTGTCCTCACCTGGGACACTGCCATCACCTGGGACACTGTCCTCACCTGGGACACTGCCATCACCTAGGACAGTCCTCACCTGGGACACTGCCATCACCTGGGACACTGTCCTCACCTGGGACACTGTCATCACCTGGGACACTGTCCTCACCTGGGACACTGCCATCACCTGGGACACTGTCCTCACCTGGGACACTGCCATCACCTGGGACACTGTCCTCACCTGGGACACTGTCCTCACCTGGGACACTGTCCTCTCCTGGGACACTGCCATCGCCTGGGACACTGTCCTCACCTGGGACACTGTCCTCTCCTGGGACACTGCCATCACCTGGGACACTGCCATCACCTGGGACACTGTCCTCACCTGGGACACTGTCCTCACCTGGGACACTGTCCTCACCTGGGACACTGTCCTCTCCTGGGACACTGCCATCACCTGGGACACTGTCCTCACCTGGGACACTGTCCTCACCTGGGACACTGTCCTCACCTGGGACACTGTCCTCTCCTGGGACACTGCCATCACCTGGGACACTGTCCTCACCTGGGACACTGTCCTCTCCTGGGACACTGCCATCACCTGGGACACTGTCCTCACCTGGGACACTGTCCTCACCTGGGACACTGTCCTCACCTGGGACACTGTCCTCACCTGGGACACTGTCCTCTCCTGGGACACTGCCATCACCTGGGACACTGTCCTCACCTGGGACACTGTCCTCACCTGGGACACTGTCCTCACCTGGGACACTGTCCTCACCTGGGACACTGCCATCACCTGGGACACTGTCCTCACCTGGGACAGTCCTCACCTGGGACACTGTCCTCACCTGGGACACTGCCATCACCTGGGACACTGTCCTCACCTAGGACACTGTCCTCACCTGGGACACTGTCCTCACCTGGGATACTGTCCTCACCTGGAACACTGCCATCACCTGGGACACTGCCATCACCTAGGACACTGTCCTCTCCTGGGACACTGCCATCACCTGGGACACTGCCATCACCTGGGACACTGTCCTCACCTGGGTCACTGTCCTCACCTAGGACACTGTCCTCACCTAGGAAACTGCCATCACCTGGGACACTGCCATCACCTGGGACACTGCCATCACCTGGGACACTGCCATCACCTGTGACACTGTCCTCTCCTAGGACACTGTCCTCTCCTGAGACACTGCCATCACCTAGGACACTGCCATCACCTGGGACACTGCCATCACCTGGGACACTGCCATCACCTAGGACACTGCCATCACCTGGGACACTGCCATCACCTAGGAAACTGCCATCACCTGGGACACTGCCATCACCTGGGACACTGCCCTCACCTGGGACACTGCCATCACCTGGGACACTGCCATCACCTGGGACACTGCCATCACCTAGGACACTGCCATCACCTGGGACACTGCCATCACCTGGGACACTGCCATCACCTGGGACACTGCCATCACCTGGGACACTGTCCTCTCCTGGGACAAAGAGCACATCATGGTGGCTGTACGGCGGACATCAGAGTATCCCCCCCCCCCCCGGGCTTCACAATGTTGCTCCTGTTTCCATGAATCGAGCCTAACAACATGTAGGAGACAGAGACAAGTTCTGTCTCCTCCCTGACAGAACCTGTTTGTCACAGTTCACCGTACTTCTTCCACAAGACTTGTAGAAGAAGTCTACACCTTTAACTTGAAGTAGCGCCGAGTGTGACCTCTTCGAACTCACACTCACAAGTGACGTCCTTACCAATCACAGAGCCTCTGCCCGTGGCACTTCACGGTCTTGCTCCTCCCTCATTGGTCAATGATAACATAATCTCCCTCCTCCTGGGAGTCCCTCGTCGTCGCCATCTTGCTGCCCACTTAACACCTTACTCAGTGACACACAAAATACCTCAGACTCTGCCTGGTTTCTCTCATACGACTGAGAGAGAGAATAGAGCTATTCCTCAGGTTTTAGTCAACATTGTGCCTGGATGGGGAATAACTCTCACCCTGGGCCTAGATGGGGAATAACTCTCACCCTGGGCCTGGATGGGGAATAACTCTCACCCTGGGCCTAGATGGGGAATAACTCTCACCCTGGGCCTGGATGGGGAATAACTCTCACCCTGGGCCTGGATAGGGAATAACTCTCACCCTGGGCCTGGATGGGGAATAACTCTCACCCTGGGCCTGGATGGGGAATAACTCTCACCCTGGGCCTGGATAGGGAATAACTCTCACCCTGGGCCTGGATAGGGAATAACTCTCACCCTGGGCCTGGATAAGGAATAACTCTCACCCTGGGACTGGATGGAGAATAACTATCACCCTGGGCCTGGATGGGGAATAACTCTCACCCTGGGACTGGATGGGGAATAACTCTCACCCTGGGACTGGATAGGGAATAACTCACCCTGGGCCTGGATGGGGAATAACTCTCACCCTGGGCCTGGATGGGGAATAACTCTCACCCTGGGCCGGGATGGGGAATAACTCTCACCCTGGGCCGGGATGGGGAATAACCCTAACCCTGGGTCTGGATGGGGAATAACTCTCACCCTGGGCCTGGATGGGGAATAATTCTCACCCTGGGCCTGGATGGGGAATAACTCTCACCCTGGGCATGGATGGGGAATAACTCTCACCCTGGGCCTGGCTGGGGAATAACCCTCACCCTAGCCCTGATGAGGAATAACTCTCACCCTGGGCCTGGATGGGGAATAATTCTCACCCTGGGCCTGGATGGGGAATAACTCTCACCCTGGGTCTGGATGGGGAATAACTCTCACCCTGGGCCTGGCTGGGGAATAACCCTCACCCTAGCCCTGATGAGGAATAACTCTCACCCTAGCCCTGACGAGGAATAACTCTCACCCTAGGCCTGTATGGGGAATAACTCTCACCCTGGGCCTGGATGGGGAATAACTCTCACCCTGGGCCTGGATGGGGAATACCTCTCACCCTAGGCCTGGATAGGGAATAACCTCTCACCCTGGGCCTGGATGGGGAATAACCCTCACCCTGGGCCTGGATGGGGAATAACTCTCACCCTGGGCCTGGATGGGGAATAACTCTCACCCTGGGCCTGGATGGGGAATACCTCTCACCCTGGGCCTGGATGAGGAATAACTCTCACCCTGGGCCTGGATTGGGAATAACTCTCACCCTGGGCCTGGATGGGGAATAACTCTCACCCTGGGCCTGGATAGGGAATAACTCTCACCCTGGGCCTGGATAGGGAATAACTCTCACCCTAGGCCTGGATGGGGAATAACTCTCACCCTGGGCCTGGATGGGGAGTAACTCTCACCCTGGGCCTGGATGGGGAATAACTCTCACCCTGGGCCTGGATAGGGAATAACTCTCACCCTGGGCCTTGATAGGGAATAACTCTCACCCTGGGCCTAGATAGGGAATAACTCTCACCCTGGGCCTGGATGGGGAATAACTCTCACCCTGGGCCTGGATAGGGAATAACTCTCACCCTGGGCCTGGATGGGGAATAACTCTCACCCTGGGCCTGGATAGGGAATAACTCTCACCCTGGGCCTGGATAGGGAATAACTCTCACCCTGGGCCTGGATAGGGAATAACTCTCACCCTGGGCCTGGATCGGGAATAACTCTCACCCTGGGTCTGGATAAGGAATAACTCTCACCCTGGGCCTGGATAGGGAATAACTCTCACCCTGGGCCTGGATAGGGAATAACTCTCACCCTGGGCCTGGATAGGGAATAACTCTCACCCTGGGCCAGGATAGGGAATAACTCTCACCCTAGGCCTGGATGGGGAATAACCCTAACCCTGGGCCTGGATGGGGAATAACCCTAACCCTGGGCCTGGATGGGGAATAACTCTCATCCTAGGCCTGGATGGGGAATAACTCTCACCTTGGGACAGGATAGGGAATAACTCTCACGCTACCCAGATTCTAGACCATCGGGGTTCACAACAGACAAACACCCTACATCAAGAGCCTTCTTCAGATATCACAAACACCTCTTGACAAACATATACAACTTGAAATATAAGTTCGTGGCGAGCAAGACAGCCTAAATTCTTCACTTAAGCTTAAGTCAGCAACCGGACGTAATATTTTGTTGAACAATGGTATCTAAATATTATTATTGTTATAAATAATGTGAGAATAAGGGAGTTGGTGTGGCAGGTGTGTGGTGTTCGCCAGCACCCTCTACAGCGCCGCCCTCAGCCGCCGCGCCCGCGTCACCATCCTCTACGCCACCGAGACTGGCAAGTCTCAACTCTTCGCCAAGACTCTCGCTGACGCCTTCAAACGTAACTTCAACCCCAAGGTAAATACCTGCAGAAAATTATGTTTATGTAATTAAAAATGTGTTATTTTAGTTCTAGAAACAGCAACTCAAATAATGTATTTATAAGAGTAGAAGTAGTTTCCGACATAATATAATGTACAAGGGGAGTGCTTCTGACCACCTGCCACACAACACAAGTTCAGGTGTTGTTACATGTTGTCTCATAATAACCCACACCTCTGGTTCACCTTCTCCTGGACATTTCCGTCTTCTCCTCCAACAACTTATACTCGCTGCTAACTGCTCAGTTGCCCTCGCTTATCTTACTGCTACTCATCACCAACGTGTCCTTCTCTTCCTGGTGAGCTGGGTGTTATACTCCTCGCCTCTTCCTCGCTACAGAAATTACTTTGTCATATTTCTTCCTTCTTGAGCGCCTTAACCTCTGCCATTCTTTTATTTTATAAATCACCGCTTTCCTCGTCCCTGTCAGCTCGTCCTTTTCTCCTTGAAAGTTGCCCAACCACTTTGGCTGGACGGTAAAGCAGCGGTCTTGCTTTATGCAGATCTACGTTCAGTCCCCAACCGTTCAAGTGGTTGGGCACCATCCCTTTCCCCCGTCCTATCCCAAATCCTTATCCTGGCCCCAAGTATTAAATAGTCGTAATGGTTTTCCATCCCAAGGTAATGCTTATTCCTTCAGAATCAATTTTTACTAAAAACTGATTCTGAACGCTAACAGAGTTTTTCCTCACACAACTTCTGATTTCAATTAGAAGTTGTAAGATATTGAAATCATATACCATGATTTAAATCTGATTTCCTTGTTTTAGCTGTTCACTAACTCTCTCCCTAAATGGGCCATATCTTCGGCATAGCAATAAAGAAGGAAAGTTGTTCCATTTCAATTAAATATTTGATTAAAATAGAGTTGGTAAGTGTCACGTGGGGGGGTGGGCGGTCCGGGGCTCTGCTAACACTCGGCTGCTAGGGGCTCAAAGGGCCCAAATACTCAGCCCCTCCGACTCCCTGGATTCACCGGAGTCTCCTTGGTCACACAAGATAGGACCAACAATGCCCACCTCCGCAGGTCTTTGCTTCCACCACAAAGGGGTGCCACTGATTCACCCTGGAAGCCCTTCAGTCAACCACGGGGAAACTGCTGTTAACAGTTCCGGCCTAGACCCGTGGGGGAGTGAAGGAAGACTCAGGCTTACCTATAACCATAGCCTCTCTGAGACTTGCCTGCCAGACAAAAAAAAGGTTGCAGGAACTCCTTTCCCGCCTGTCTTCTCTATCTTCCTCTTAGCAAGGTCGCCAGCTGGGTTATTATATCTGCACCCCAGCAATGCAGTTCAGTGGGTGTATCATATATCGTTTGTAGCCAGAAATGTATGCTCATAGAGAAATATCACAAATGGAGGCACACTCAAACACAGTAATAAAATGTGTGGATTTACTGACGCAAATTACATGAACACACACACACAATCACAAGTAATACATGAATATGGAATATGGATGATGAGTCTGGAGATCGTCAGCCTCTTCTTCCACGACCTCCAACTCTCCTTCAACTGGGCAGGAAGACAGGAGTCTCACACTCTCACAGGAGGGCCTCTTCACCACGTCGGCACCTCTTCTTCACTGTCCTGCCATCCATACACACTGTCCTCTCTGACAGTCCTGGACACAAGCTGCCTTGCAGCCTATTCTACTATTAAAGTAATAAAGTCTTGCTGCCACATACACAAGTAAATATTGTGGCCTAACTAGCCTACTCATACAAGGGGTAATGGGAGGGAAAAATGATCTACCTTACACTCCTGGCTCACGACGCCTGTCCCTCGATGGTGTGAGGTTCCCACGCTTCCTTGGGTCGATCCTCGACGATCCAGGGCGTTCCACAGGTCCTCAGGTGTCGTGAAGCCTTCGCGTCGTCGCCGTTCCAATCCCTGAGATTCAGCTGCCCCAATCCTGGTTCATCGATGGGCGCTGAGCCAATCACTATCTTTCCCCACACTCGCCTCTCCCACAGGGCGTCGCTCCTTGTCCTAGGCACGGTGTCGTCCTTCCAAGATTCTCAGTGGATGTGACCCCAGTCACAGCTAGCTTGCTCGCCCACCTTCCAGACCTCAACGTCCAGCCAGCAGCGCCGCCCAGCGTCGTCGCCGACTATTTTCCAAGTTTGGGCACTTCTCTGCTCACTGAACTTGGTTCCTCTTTGGCTTCCCAGAAGCGCAGGGTCTCCAATAACTATGGTGGGCAACGAAGGCCAGCTCAATCCACTGAACAAGGCTTGCAGAGCCTCCAATCCTTGAGAGCAGACCGAGGCGCGTCCTGTCGCTTCCACGGTCAGTACAACTCTGACGTTGGCGCCGCCCGGGGCACTCGGTGACGTCATGGCGGGCCCTGATTTGTCGCCCGCGACCTACGTCGGCCAATCCGCGATTGGCATAGTGTCCCTTCCACAAGGTCATATCTGCCGTAGGGGATACTGTTTCATTTTATATCAGGGCGCCAACTTTCCTTTATTTACAACTTATAATATAACCTCCTTCCATTAAATGGCAGCCAGTCTGGTCGCCACATATATCATTAGACTCCCTGAACCTCAGAGAATCAGTAGGGAGAGCTGATATGACTCTTTAAGCCGGCAAACGAAAGAAATAGGAGAGGGCACCGTAACATACCCCTCCCCTTAAAATAAGAGTCATATCGGTTAGTAAATCCGGGAGAGGGCATCTGCCACCACATTCTCCCTTCCTTTAATGTGCCTGATTTCTAGCCAGTACTCTTGGAACAGTAGGGCCCATCTTGTCAGCCTTTGGTTCGTGTTCTTCATCCTATGCACGAACGTCAAGGGTTATGATCGGTGAACACTTGCACCGGTCTAGTACCTCCACCCACATAGACGTCAAAATGTTTCAGTGCCAGGATCAGGGCCAAGGCTTCCTTTTCCACTGTACTATAAGCCCTCTGGTACTTTTCGAATTTCTTCGAGTAGAATGCCACTGGACGGTGGACTCCGTCCTTCTCTTGAGCTAACATGGCTCCAATTCCCACGTCGCTAGCGTCAACGTATAAGATAAAGTCTGACTCAAAGTCGGGCGAAATCAGCACTGGCGCTTCAGTCAACAACTTCTTAGTCTTCTCGAAGGACTCCTGGCATGCTTCCCCCCACTTCCATCTAACGTTCTTAGATAGCAATTCAGTCAGAGGGTGTGCCACTGTCGAGAAGTTATTGCAAAATCCTCTATAGTATCCAACCATCCCTAAATATCGTAACAATTCCTTTCTCGTTCTGGGATTCGGATATTCTCTGATTGCCATCACTTTCTTGTCTACTGGAGTCACTTCCCCTTGACCCACGACGAAACCTAAGTATTCTAATCGGGCCTTCCCGAATTCGCTTTTGGCCAGATTAACGGTCAGGTTCGCTTCTTCCAACCGTTGGAATAACTCCGTCAGTCGATTCATGTGTTGTTTCCAGCTATCGGCGTACACCACTATATCATCTATATACACGGCGCAGCCTTCCATCCCTCTTAGCACTTCGTTCATCATCCTCTGAAAACAACTTCCGCTGTTCTTCATACCAAAGGGAAGCACTTTGTACTGGTACAATCCGTCTGGAGTAGCAAACGCTGAGATCTTTCTCGCACTCGGCGACAAAGGGATTTGATAATACCCTTTCAGCAGGTCGACCTTGGTGACGAACCTTGCATTTCCTACTTGGTCGACGCAATCACTTACTCGGGGCATCGGGTGAGAATCTGACACGGTTATGGCATTCACTTTACGATAGTCAGTGCAAAAACGATATGATCCGTCACTCTTCTTGACCAGCACACAGGGCGAGCTCCACTCACCGTTGCTGGGCTCAGCGAGATCATTCGCTAGCAGATATTCCACCTCCTGTCGCATGATCTTCCTCTTCTCGGGACTCACCCGATAAGCACTCTGCTTGATTGGCTTTCCTCCGCACACGTCCACCTCGTGCACCACACTCTTGTGCCGTCGGGGCACATCCGTGAAAAGCGACTTGTTCCTTCTTATCAGGGTCACTAGTTCTCTCCTTTTCTCTTTATCCAGATGACGCAGCCTGTCTTCTAGGTGTGTCAAACTCTCTGTATTCGACAGGCGCGTACCATCGGCACGGGCCCACTTTCTCTCCTCCGCTGGCAACACCTGGTCCATCTCCATACACAGAACCCATTTCCCTTCTCGCGACTGTGTTTCTCCCTTCACTCCTGCACTCTCTTGTTCCTCTGGGAAGTATGGCTTTAAACGATTGATATGACACACCTGTGTCTTGTTAGGGCGATTCGGCTTGCTGATCTCATAACTTACAGGACCCACACGCCGAATAACCGAGTATGGACCACCAAAGCGTGATTCCGTCACTCTACCCCTCCCAGGTAGCAACATCATCACTCTGGCTCCTGCCTCGAACTCCCTTGGGACAGCCTTCTTGTCGTACCAGATCGACATCTTCTCTTGCGCTGTCTTCAAGTGATCAGCAGCCAGCTCCTTCGCCGTTTTCAATCGTTCATGGAATCTTCGCACATACTCTTCCACTGTCACTAATGTCTTCTCCGCCGTCATCCGCTCCTTCAGCATCAACAACGGGCTCCTTACTTCGTGCCCAAACACTAGCTGGAATGGAGAGAATCCCAGAGACTCAACTATAGCATCTCGGATCGCGAACAGGGCTGGACAGACAGCCTCATCCCATTCCGCTCCCTGTTCAGCACAATACACTCTTAAGATGGTCTTCAGAGTTGAATGGAACCTCTCAATCGCTCCCTGCGATTGAGGTCTATAAGGAGACGATCGTAGTTGGGCTATTCCCAGCTCGCAATAGCCTGCCTAAACCACCTCGATTGGAAAACACTTCCACAGTCGGACTGAATCTCCTTGGGCACACCTACCCAAGCAAAGAACCGCTGAAGGTGTCCCATGACGCATTTCGATGTCACCTTCCGCACTGGGATCGCCTCCGGAAATCTCGTCGAAGCACACATGATAGTCAATAA